AATAATTGCAAGTACAGGTCATCACTTTTTCCAAGATCTTTGTAACTTTGAAGCATTGTTAAATGAATGGTCATAAGTCGAGGATTACCTGAACCATTTAAATAATTATGCAAGAGCAAAATTTACAGACCAGAAGATGCAAAGGCAAAGTATTTTATACAGTATATATATCTGTGGTATTTTTACCACTTACTGACCAACAGGAGGCGGTATATGACTGGTTTCATTGTCATTGGAACTCATCAATTTTAGATCTTAATCAGTTCAACTTCTTTTGATAAGAATTGAAACTATAGATTTTATTCACCATTATGTAGTGCACTCTGCTTTATGAACTATGGTATCCTCACTATAGCCTGTAGGAAGGGAGGTATAAACTAAGCAATGAGCATGTGTCTTTCTTATTTTAAGATCTCAGATTAGAAAGACAAATCACAGAATTGTGGAACTTGAGAGCATGCAACCTCTAGCCTGAGTGTATGACATACTACAATTTGTCTGTCTAGTCTGAGAACTTAATACACTAGGGCAGACATGTCAAACTTGCGATGTCACGTGACGTCGCGCAATATATTGGGCCGGTTTTGCCATTGCCGGCAATGGGGTGGGCGTGCCTTCTGGATGACACGTCCGGCAGTTTGACACCCCTGCACTAGGGGACTAGGGTTGACATGTTAGCAGTGTTGCAATATCTCAGAGGTTGCCACAAAGAAGAGGGAATCAAGCTATTCTACAAAGCATCTGAAGGCAGGATAAGAAGCAATGGATGGAAACTCATCAAGGAGAGAAGCAACCTAGAACTAAGGAGAAATTTAGAATAATTAATCAGTGGAACAACTTGCCTCCAGAAGTTGTGAATGCTCCAACATTGGAAGTTTTTAAGAAGAGATTGGACAACCATTTATCTGAAATGGTATAGAGTTTCCTGCCTGAGCAGGGGGCTGGACTAGAAGACCTCCAAGGTCCCTTCCAACTCTGTTATACCATTCCATGGGTCTGGTTAACATGTTTCTTGGATGACCACATAGTTTCCTTAATGACCACTCAATTATGGATGTACGGTAAGTCAAGGACTACCTGTATGATCCTACATCAGATCTGTACCACGAAGCCTCCGTAGCAGAACATCCAGGTTCAGCCATAGTTTCATTCCATACAGCATTAACCTTGTGAACTCTCAACCTTCCTCCTTCCGTTATATATTTAAGATGGACAGTGTTTAATACTAATTTATGTATATGTAGGGGTGTGGGTCTATACATATGTTATATATAGTATGTTTAGGTGTGGGTCATGTATGTGTTTCATTTTGAGAGCGGGCAATAAATTTCATTTTTGATGTGTGCCGTTGTGCCCACAGTAAAAAAAAAGTGACAATAAAGGTTATCTTATCTTACCTCAGAAGACATCCAAATCAATAACTCAGAAATGGGGAAACTGGGGCAATTCAGATGTTGCCAAACTGCAACTCCCAGAAGTCCTAGCTACCATTGCCAAAGGTGATATATGTCACCTCCAGGCTCCTATGGGAAGGATAATATCCCCAGTGCTTAGAGTATCGACACAAAAATTAGGTATCTTTTCTCCAATTCTGTTACTGAGAAACATTTTTGCTTATCTGTATGCAGAACGCTTAGTGGGAAAAACAGAAAATGTAGCTTGATATTTTGTTTTGCTATCGAATGGAATCCTGGAGATCCAATTTATTTGAAGCACATGGGCTCTTGCAGCATAAATGTTGATCTGGAGGCCAAGCTGCAGGTCTCACTATCAATCAAGTTTCTGCAAATGCTCTGGGGATTGAGAATTGATCACTTGCTTTGATAGGAATACAATTTGTTACAATGCCTATGCCATTACCTGAATCACAATTATACCCAGGGAAGCATATTCTGCCTCTTTAGCTATATTCTATGGAAAACCAAGGCTCTATTTAGAATGATGTAAATGCACTTTTCATTTGCATAATTTCTTCGGCTAACGAGAGTTGTGGAACCTTCAAGCAGCCTGGAAAGGTTTCAGCCAAGGCCTTCCTACAAAGGATTTGTGACCCGCGAACAAGTACATTGTTTGTTCTCATGGCTCAATAGTTAAAAAAAAAATTGTGGAAACTGACTACAAAATACAAGTAGTCCTCAATTTACAACCATTCATTTAGTGATGGTTGAAAGTTACAATGGCATTGAAAAAAGTGATTTATGATCGTATTTCACACTTACGACCAGTGGTGAGATTCAGCTGGTTCACACCACTTCGGCAGAACCGGAAGCTAATTTTTTTGTTGCCCAGGCCCAGAACGGACTTCCGGAAGCAGCATCCACACAGAGAACCAGTTGTTCACATATTTGAATCCCACCACTGCTTACAACTTCAGCATCCTTGCGCTCACGTGATCAAAATTCGGATGCTTGGCAACTGACTCGTATTTATGACGGTTGCGGTGTCCTGGGGTCATGTCATTCCCTTTTGTGACCTAAGAAGCAAGAGTCAAGGGGGAAGCCAGATTGACTTAACTGTGTTAACTAAATTAACAACTGCAGCGATTTGCTTAACCACTGTGGCAAGAAAGGTCGTAAAATGGGGCAAAACTCACTTAACAACTATCTTACTTAGCAATGGGAATTTTGAGCTCAATTGTGGTCATACATCGAGGACTACCTGTAATAAGTAATGCCACCCTAACCACGCATAACTCCAAGCAAATCTTCCTGAATTTAGGAAGGCTCGCTCCTGACCAGATGTAAATAATTCACTTACAGGTACATATGAACCAGTTGCCAAGCGTCTGAATTTTGTTTGCGTGATCGGTGTGTGTGTGTGTGTTTGTGCAATAGTCATAAGTGTGAAAAATAGTCATTTAATCACTTTTTTCAGTGCCGTTGTATCTTTGAACGGTCACTGAACGAACTGCTGTAAGTCGAGGACTACCTGTATATCCCATCTGCTTTTTTTCAATAATTGTGCCATTTGGTAATTGATTTATATTTGGGCCTGAGGACTCCAGAAAATAATAATAATAATAATAATAATAATAATAATAATAATATAGTAATAATAATAGTAATAGTAATAGTAGTAGTAGTAATAATATAATAATAATAATAATAATAATAATAATAATAATAATAATAATAATAATAATAATAATAATAATAAACACTGTCATAAACTCACTGAAAAGCAGCAGCCTAAGAAGAAAAGCATAAAAAAAAGCAGGAGCAGCCAAAGGATGACCAAAAAGGAGAGTTAGAGCCACTTTTGGAAGGAACTGAAAAGGTTATACATGAAAGCTGTTAAATCCAAAGCTGCTGTAACAGTCTCACAGTTCAGAGATGATGCATGGCTACAACGGCTAATGACTGTGCTTCTTGAAATGCAAGCTTTCCTTTTAGAAATTGCAGACAATTGTCAATGTTCTTTCTCACCCAGACTATGCGAAGCTACAGTGATCTTCAAGCTGTTGTTAGGTTAGAACAGTGATGGCGAACCTTTTAGAGACTGAGTGCCCAAACTGCAACCCAAAACCCATGTATGCATCGTCAAGTGCCGGGTGAGCGTGGCCCATTGGGTGGGCGTGGCCCATTGGGTGGGCATGGCTGCGGTGGTAATGGCAGACTGGGTGGAACTAAAAAGTTCAATCAATCATTTCCAACTTTGCAAGATCTTTTTTTTTTCCCTTGAGAAGTTGAAATTGACTGATTGAACTTTTTTTTTTTTGTACACAGTAGTGGAGACCTAAAACGAAAAGGTTTTATAAAACCCAGCTGAAGGCCTAGGACTGGGGCGACGGCGCGCATGCCCACCTGCGTCATAGGTTCACCACCACTGGGTTAAAATATTCCACCCTGCCAAGATCTTTCATTCCTTTTATATAAAAGATAGTCACTTGCCATTCAGGTAACCAGCAATATTTTACATATCACTTAAATGATTAAACAAAGAGAAGCGCAAAAGACACACCCACACATACACACACTTCAGTTCTCATCGAGCATTTAGACAGAGAAGGAAAATTGTGACAATATCTGGCAACATCAAGTCAGAAGGTGCAACATGTTATTTGGCCCCTGAGTTTCAACATTCTGCCTATAAATCCAGACTTATACTGTGGACGTGACAAATCTGCCTTGGACAATGGGCCCATGTTGTTGAAAAGCTGCATCAACCTTGAGATAAAGAAACATACATGACAGAAATCTACACAGTAACCTTTTTGGCCATGCACCACTGATGGATATTTATTGTTTAATTCATTTCAGGAATGGGCTGAGAACTTATAATAATAGTTCAGATGAATATGGCCTGTCCACCTCCATCATTGCAAAAGGAAACAATATTTTTCCCTTGGGGCTCCTTGGGGATATTGATTGTTTTCTTGAAAATGTTTCATTACTTGCCTAGATAAGATCATCAGTGCTAGCCTAGCCTAGCGTATCACCTGGCACTGATGGTGTATCCTAGTCAGGTAATGAAATGTCTACAAGAAAACAACTAAGCTCTGAGAACACTAAGAACCCCATAGTTCAATCCTGAGCTCCAAATATTCTATTATTCTTTTTTTCATATGATAGCTAAAGTATAAAATAATATCAGTGCAGTATTGAGGACTGTTAACTTACTGCTTGAACCCCTCTCATTCCAGCAAATTCTATAAAATCTGCCAATTCTTGAAGATTATCTAACTTTTAATTAGCTCATCATAGAAAATGTATTTGGACAACTCTAGTTCCCTCAGCCAAGAAACAGAGATGAGCATCGTGCCCTAGAATTGATACAACTTGACAGGTAAACCTTTACTTTTTTTTTTTACTCTCTAACTTTGAAGGCTTTTAATTGTGCTTCCCCTAGGTGTGCTAGAAAAGTCTAAGCTAATGTTTCTCAATCTTGGCAAATGTAAGAGGTCTGGATCTCAATTCCCAGAATTCCTCAGCAAGTTTTTTCCTTTGCAAAAATAGTTGCAAAACTCCCCCCGCCCATTTTTTGCAGCTACTGTAGGTTACCTGTAAGCTTTGAGAATTCTGTGTGCAATGGCATCACCAATTCGGTTCGACACAAGTTTGTCGTCGGCGCAGCTAATAAAAAACTGGTTCTACAATGGGGGAAAGAAAAACAGAAAGGAGTTGGAAATATTTACGCTGCTAACGAAACTGAGTTATTGCATGCTTTTAATGTACAATATTTGGAAAGGCAACCGTTTCTGAAGGAGGAGCTCTGGGATTATTTGTAAGATTATTTTGTGAAATCTGACGAGAAGAAGTCAGAGAAGATCAGCTTTTCTAAAAGGGGAATCTATAATTAATGACCTTCTCTTCCAGTTACTACCTTAGCCGTCCGGAAAGCGTTGAGCAAAATCCCAGTGCATTCTATTTACATAGACTAGACTTCAACCTGCTGTGCAATAAAATCAGGGCTTTTCAATATTTTCACAGATTGTACCACTTTTAGGACATGACAATATTCGAGTACCACCAGTCCTTAGCAAGGTGTCAAAAACTTGACGACTAAAAAAAAGGGATGGGGGGGGATTTTGGGTTTTACTGGTTAGATTCATTTGTTGTTATAGAAATGGCTAGTTTATAATATTATGGAAAAGTAAAAAGTTGAGGTTCAATGTTAATGCTTCCTTCTACTGCAACAGAGGAAATCAGAAGTCAATGCCTTTTCTTTTCTTTTTCCCTTCTCCCCCTCACTTTTCCCCTTTTCTCTCACCTTTCCCTTGCAAAAGCCCCCCCCTCTTACCCTTTGCTCGCAAAAGCCTCTTGCTCGCTCTCTCACTCACTCTTTGCTTGCAAACGGCTCTCTCTCTCTCTCTCCACTGCTTCGCTAACAAAAGCCTCTTCTCTCTCTTTCTCCATGTGTTTTTTTTCCTCTCCCTCTCCCTCCAAAATCTGCTCCTTTTATAGCTTCTCCTCTCTCCGCCCTCCTCCTCCTTCTTTTCTCTTCTGGGTGCGCCGGAAGCTCCAATCAGCATGTAGCCGCACACGCAGATCCTGGGGCTTCTGCTGAGCCCTGCAGCTCCAGCTGATCTCCTCCAGGCCTGTGCGGCATCACTTTAGCTCGTTCCCTCCTCCGCTATACTTGGCTAGGGGTCGTGTACCACCTGTCAGGTGCTAAAGTACCACCGGTGGTACGCGTACCAGCGGTCGAAAAGCCCTGCTCTAAATGGCCTGGGAAATGACTCCCAGAATTCCTGCTGGCTGCTTGAGAATTCTGGGACATTTATTTCCCAACACTTCTGAAAAACACAAGGTCATGGAAAGTTCTGGCTGGAATACTATTTAATCGAAGAGCACATCTTGAACTGAATTCCAGAATTCTCAGCCATGCAGAAAGGTTACCTAGCAGATAGATTAAAGTTTCTTCAATTCTTGGAAGAAAGAAAGTTTCTCGAGAGACCCCTCTTCTGAAGAGCTGCATGGACAATAGAGAAGGCAGCAGATCTTTTCAGTGATAGACACCACTTTCTGCAATATTCTTCTCCCACTCTTTGAGGATTTAAAACAATTAAATCTACATTTTTTCAGTGGCCTTTAACTATGGACTGTTACCGCAGTGATTTTCATTTATATAATTATTTGCTTTGTTCCTCTCGATTATAACATTATAGTATAATGGGTTATACTATGGTAGAGTATAATAATGGTATAGTATAATCTACAAAGACTGGGTGGTTAACAAAGAAACAACATTATAACATTAAGTTATAATATTGTTTTTTTTGTAAGTCACCCAGTCTTTGCAGATTGGCCCAGATAAAACTGTAAATTAGTCAATTGACCAATCAATCAAGAATAACATAAAAAATCGCATTGAAATTATTGGAGCTCTGCAAAGGAATGTTTAATTTATATTTCTCATTGATAGAATTTGAGTATCTTGAGTATCCTTGATCATTCTCATCAAATACCAAAGGTTTATTACAACGATGAACCATAGTTTCTCAAGGCACACTGAACATGACATTTCTGGGTGCATGAAGAAAATAATGAATTGTGACTCATTCTGCACTTTGAAAGCCCACCATTTCAACCCAGAAAGTAATAAACAGGCAAAAATTACACAATAGAAGCAGACTCCTATAAACTGCTGGAGTAAATTCATGGTATCTTTCCCCAAACTGAGGACCTTCTAGTTATGTAGACTTCAACTCCCAGGGTCCTCCAGCTAGTGTGAACATTACTGAGAATTCTGGGAAGTGAAGTCCACCCATCTGGAGGGCAATCAAGGTGGGAAAGCCTCATTTATGTTACTGTTGGCCTGATTCCTACAGAAGACAATATATAAGACAGGGGTCTTCAAACTTGGCCCTTTTATGACTTGTGGACTTCAACTCACAGAATTCCTCACCCAGGCACGCTGACTGAGGAATTCTGGGAGTTAAAGTCCACAAGTCATAAAAGGGCCAAGTTTGAAGACCCCTGATATAAGATATGTGATGGAGAAGAGGCCCAATGATTCCATCCAATTCCAGGGGATAACCCACCTGGCCTTCTAAGGCAGCTGCCTCCAATCATGAAAATACTCCTACTTAGGCACATACAAAGGCAAAGGCAGCACTATTTATGTCACTGAAGAATTTCAACCTATATGAAAACTATAAATATACCCTCCCGCTACTTTCACTGAACTGAGCCAGGTCTTCTACATATGGCAACTACTTGCCTCTATATAGATGTAGTGCTTGCTGTTTTCTATCACGCTCACGTAAGCAGAATGGATCGATTCTTCATGGTACTTAATACCAGCAGACCAGTCGGCAGCAGAGCGAAGCACCTGGGAGAGTAAACACCAGCTTTTTTTAAAAAATAGATAGATAATCATATGCAAGGAGTTTCTGTTTCACAGCATCCAGCCAGTTTTAACATAAACACCTAACTATATGCAATGTTAGCTCTGTCTCCTAAGAATCAGTTTCTGGCGGCAAATCTTAATATTACTTTTTATTGGATTAGCACAGGGGTCTTCAAACTTGGCCCTTTTGTGACTTGTGGATTTCAACTCCCAGAATTCCTCAGCCAGCACGCCTGGCTGAGGAATTCTGGGAGTTGAAGTCCACAAGTCACAAAAGGGCCAAGTTTGAAGACCTCTGGATTAGCATGTCGTCTGAAGCCCCCATTTGTGGCTTATCATCAAGCAAACAATGGCATTGAGTGAGATGTGAACCCACTCACTGATTGACTGCAGTTGTTTTTCAGCCTTGCCTGAAGGTGTTGGGACACTGAACATGCAAGAATTGGCGAGCTGAGAAGGAGGTAAACTCTATTGCTGGCCTCTATCCATTTTCCAAACAGGAAGCAACTAAGGGAATATCAGACAATAATCTCAGATTGCCACTAGCTTCATCTGAGGAGGCAAAAGGGAGAGGGAGGAGGAAGGGATTACTGTCAGCAGAAGATGGTTTTCCTAAGAAAAGCAGTAGAAAAACCTCAAACAGCTGCTACCCCTCTTGCCAGTGTTAACACAACAAAGCATTTCGTTTCTCTTGTCTGAAAAGAATGATGTCATCTGCTAAAACTCTTGCAGATCATGTACTAATGGACTTAAAACAGAGGAAAGCAGATTCCTAAGAACAGTTTCACAATATGACAAAGGGAAATTATGAGTCCTGCCTCATTGGATGTGTAGGAGAAGGAAGTGTCTATAAGATCTACTTTAATTTACATTCTTGCACTGGGTAGCAAATTGGATCCAATGGTCCTATATTGACTATATTCAAAAGGTACATGCACGTGTTGATAAAATTGCTTAAATTGCAATATATAGTTAACTTTGGATAACTTAAGCAGGTTAGTACAGGTATAGTCCTTGACTTATGACCAAAACTGAGACCAAAATGTCTGTTGCTAAGCAAGCTGACTGTTAAATGAGTTGTGCCTGACTTTACAACCTTTTTTTGCCAACGTTAAGGGAATCGCCACGGTTGTTAAGTGAATTACACAGTCGTTAAGTGAAGCTGGCTTCCTCCATTGTCTTTGCTTGTCGGAAGCTGTCTTTTAGTGGCTACTGCTGCCTCCTAGCTAATCAAAAAGAGAAGGACATTTGCGCAGTACTGGAAGAATGAAGGAATACTATCAGATGAAGAAATAATTTAAAAAATACTAGAATGCGCAGAGATGGACAGATTGACTATGAGGCTGAAGAAACGGACTATTATCAAACCTGGAACTTATTTTACTATTGGCTAGAGGAAAGAATAAAGAATTAGGAATTAAATATGTATTAGCATATGTAAACTCAGACAGCACGTTGGTTGAAAAATTATTATTGTTTGCATGGAAAAAATGAATAAAAAACTTATAAAAAAACAAAACAAAAAGAGAAGGACAAGAAATGGCATCTTTAGGGCTATCTAGACGGAGAAATTAAAAAATAATAATAATCATCCAGAAAACGGCAGTGGCAAGTTACTTTTGTTGTACTGTTACCAAGAAAACTCCATGGTTCTATACATGACATCCTTAGGAGTCACGCTCAGTTTGAAAAACTTTATCTTCAAATTGCTGGGACTGTCCATGCCTACAATGAGCAAAGCAACACTTTCTTTGTTCCAGCAAAAGTTTCCATCAATCATTCTCATTTTAAAAAATGTTCGATAAACATTTTTGTTTGTTTTGTTTTGCTTTGAGATGATGATTCTCCTGTTGGAAATAAATTTTATCTAGCCAGGGACCTTGTCTCGGCAAAAGCAAAGGCCAGCAGATCATAAAAGTCAAGGAAGACAAATACTTTTCAATTTCACAGCATTACAAGAGAACAATCAATCCCATCCACAATTGCCTCCTTTGAAACTTTTTCTTACCAACTAATTGTGTTTGGACAAGTCATTCCAACTCCTAAGATTTATTTCCTGCGGAACAAGAAACAAGCTTTTCCAATCTGAACATTTTTCAAATAATCTTAGACGGCAACTTTCAATCTTGCAAATAATTGAGAAATGCGCAGAGCTTTTCCAGAGAAGAGTATCTGTCTTCTCTTTCTCCCATTCCCATTCTTCATGATTTAAGAGTCCAAAAACATATTTTCCTGTCAAGTTGTTTAAAGGAGATTTTAATGAAACTGAAGTGGCAAATGGAAGCCTACTTTAGTGATACAACTGGGAAATGTCTTTTGTTGGTAATTTCAGAAGGCCGCTGAACACTGAGTGACTTTACTTCTGAGTAAATATCCCCAGGGGTAGCTTTGTCTCTGTTTTGAAGAATGGAATATTTTATATAGATGTTTTTTCAGTGGATAAGAAAAATAAAAAGCTGTGGATCTCTTCCACAACCTCTCCAGACACATCAGGGATATAGAAAGAAGAAAAGTGGCATTTAATCTAGGGTTCAGAACAATTTCAATCTTGGAGTCATTTTATAAGGCTTCTCATGATGACAGAAGGAATCCAATGTCTAACTTCGCCAGTTATGGAGCAGTTATACATTTCATAAATATTACAACATTCCTACCTGCACTTTGGTGTACACAGCCTCGGGGACTTGATACTTCAACTCATCAGCTGTTCGCTGAGATTTTGGCAACAAGAAAGGGTATGAAAGGGACCTGTATTTGGATTTCATCATCTTGTATCATAAAAAAAAAAAAAAAAGAAAAAATGGGAAAAATTGTAGTCATGTTAAGATTTAACATACAGTTATGACCGTGACATCATTTTACTTCTTACAGACTAGGGCAGAGGTAGGCAACCTTGGCTCTTTTATGACTTGTGGACTTCAGCTCCCAAAATTCCTGAGCCAGCTGTGCTGGCTCAGGAATTCTGGGAGTTGAAGTCCACAAGTCATAAAAGAGCCAAGGTTGCCTACCCCTGGACTCGGGATTCAGAAGATTCCAAATACCTGAATAATTGTTCAATTGAATAATTGAAAAACTACATGACACCCACCTTTGTGAAGTTCCAACGTTGAATGAAGTGCCGAGCTACATTCCGTGCAGCTTTGCCATGGACCACAGAGGCAATGTCATGCCATGGCATTCTTGGCATGGTGTAGCGATCAATAAAATCTAAAAGGGAAGCAACAACAACAAAATGTCAAGAGCCAAAAGAACCACCAGCTATTCTTGGGTATGCTACCAACACCTGGTTGGCTATTGTGGGAAATAAGATACCCAATCACCTAGGCTTTTGCCCTCCGCTAGCAAAATATTGTCAAAAATTCATTGGCCCCTACTGACGTCCAGATATGATTCTAACTTGCAGTGATGCTTACCAGCAAAGGGTTTATCCAGTTGGACCCAATCTTTAAACACCAAGTTGCAATAATCTTTTCCATGCCAGAATCTAGTTTCACCAAGAAGCTCTCCAACCCCTGTCTTCAAACTGCGAACTGAGCCTTTACCTGTTTCAAAGAAAACAGATTCAACACAAGTACAAAATAGATTTTTGGAACTTGGTATTAACAGTAATCTCAATTATTATGCAAATATTTAATCTTCTTTAAATTAATATCAGTCATGAAGAAGAGTGCAACCTCAAAGCATAGCAAGCAGAATGTTATTCAATAGATTAAGGATCTCTTCTCTTCTCTTCTCTTCTCTTCTCTTCTCTTCTCTTCTCTTCTCTTCTCTTCTCTTCTCTTCTCTTCTCTTCCCTTCCCTTCCCTGCCTCCAACAACATGTGTTAATGTCCCAGAGCAAAGAACTTGTTCCTATTTTCTTTCTGTTTCTTACATCTTACAAAGATAGAATAGAATAATATCTTTATTGTTACTTTAAATGTACACTAGTCAGCATACATTAAAACGAGATTTCGTATCACCAGTAACAGTTAAGTGAAGTGATCACTCTAACAAAGAAATGTGAACACGAGTTATGTTCATGTTCCTGCACTCTCTGAAGCATCTTTTAAAAAAAATATTTCAGAAGCCTGGCACAACCCTTCTTTATATATCCTGGAGATCAGTGTAGCAATAGTTGGTCTTAGGAATGAGGAGACCAGTTCCAAATTTCCACTAGATTGTAAATCTCATTGACCTGAAACCATTCAATCATCCCAGCTTCATCATATGGTCCTTGTGAAGATAAGAAGATATATTATTTTGCTCCCTTGAGTTGGATGTACAGCATATATAATAGTCTGAGTGCCACCTACCTTTATGTTGCTCAACTTTTCCCTATTTTATGGAGAAATTTAATTGATTTTATTTGAATAAAACCATCAATTCATTTTTATATAATCCTCAAAGTTCTTGAGACCTGCCTTGAAAGGATTTTTACCCTGAAATATGGCAAAGAAATACAATGAATAAGTAAACAAATCACTCACAAGAATCACTGTCTACGCTGCTCACGCTATCTGCGTGATGCATAGTATGTCGATGGAGCTGTCTGTAGATGCTGAATCTGGCAAATTTCTTGGGTCTCCCTACTCCTTTCATTCTTGAAGCTTCTGGGGCATCGTCACTGCATCCTTGAAGAGGTGTAATTACTGGAGGCTCCTTCTGAGGTTGAACAGTTTCAGCTAAAGACTTGGGGCAGAAAAAGGACACATAAGGTTCAATTTAAATATGTGTTTATGTATCTGTCTTGGAGAAGGTGGCTGCTAAGAATTGACACCTGATTTGGTGGTATGTAATCAATTTTAATCAACATGTATCTCTGTGTATTCAGAATATGTAACAGCCCTTATATGCATATACCTATAAATGAGGGTATATCAAATCTGCCAACATCCATAAAAGCCATCACAACATATTTTAATGTCCTCATATCATGATGTCATAATGCAAATAGTGCATTTATGTAATGATATCATGACGTCTAATATAAATGTGCAAATCATGTCATATTTTTTTTTAAAATCCCATATTTATCATCACTTGCTCTTCTTGCCCACAGATGCTTTTGGACCAAATGAATCAAAGCTGCTCTCCAGGGAAAACGAATGAGCTATGAAGAAGAGCCCTCCTATTTTCATTCAAAAGTGACACAGACCCACAAGAACTACATCACATGCAACTTCTGAAAAGATGGGACAGGTTTAAAGGGAACGCATAGAATGAACTTCAAGAGAAACAGAAATAAATATCCAAGCCAATTCTTTGGCATGGATATTGCAAAATTAGTTTTGGTTTCATGTGTTTACACTCAAAAGATTTCCCACTGCATGTTATCAAAAACAAATATTAGAAACACTTATGCAATAATTTAAATCACAGTTCTCTTCAACAGATGAGTTCTGGATTCTGAGCTGAAAGTCAGTGTGTCTGAATATGCCTAACAGTTGTAGCCACTATAGAATGTTTCCTGGAATCTTGAAACATCTCCAGCTAGTTCACAACCCCATTAGGTCCATCAAGTGATGCTGGTGTATGGAAAAATGGTTTCATACATGTGTGTCCACCAATGAAAGGAAAGAAGAAACTGGCATTCTCCAATTCTGGCAAGATTGCAACTCCTAGCCTTCTCAATCTAACATTGACTAAACCCTTGATACTCTTAAGAAATATACCAGCTAATGTGATCTGAAAAAAAGTTGTCTAGACTAAGGACTTTGATGCTAGGATTGATAGGGTTGATGCTAGGATGTCAAACCACGTAGTAGGGCTGTATTATCCTTCTCATCTTTCCTATTACCTATTCTTTTAGCATCTTATGACTTTGTTGTCTGTGTCTTATGATTTATGTTGACTGCTTTTATTGAGTATCCTACGACTATCACTGAGTGTTATATCTTATGATTTATGATGATTGTATTTTAGGATTATGATCATGATTTATCATTTGTTGCTTGTATGTACAGTGAGAGCTTATGCACCAGAGACAAATTCTTTGTATGTCCAATCACACTTGGGCAATAAAGAATTCAAATTATAAAATAAATAAATAACAATAAACAAATAAGACCTGGGGTGTCCCAACTGATCCTGCAAAAGATATTCAGATAGAAACTGAAGGTAGGTAAATATTCGGTTTCTACAGCATCACAGGGTGTCTGCAATCCACATTAAATTGGCTTGTTAGCAGGGGAAACAGTGTTAGCAGTGCAGGTTAAAAGGCACCAGAAACTGGATGCAGGAAATCTTATTTGATAGATACAGCCCTTTATAAAATGACTTCCCATTAGCTGAGCCTGCTAGAAATCTTAAACCAATTGCCAGGCACCTCCACTGACCCGAGCAGCTGTCTAAATGTCAATCTGAAACAAGGTAGGAGAATTACTTTCTCAATTTCTTGTTGGTTTTCTGAAAGAGACAATTTAAAAGGAAGGGAAACTGACCTATACAATATTGTATGTATTTATTTTACACACACTGAGTTCAGAGGATTTGGAGATCAGTAAAGTGCAAGACACCTGTACAATTTAATTTTGGATGGGGATATTAGTAAATTAACTTTAGAATCTCTTTAAGAAAAAGCACACGCTTTAACAAAGTGAGCGAAATCAAAATCAGAATCAAAATCTGATAGAAGTCACCCTGTGTTCCTTTGCCTTTTCTTTGTGGCATCTTATCAGTTTAAATCAGGGTAGGAAAGGACCATAAATAAAAAAATGTTAGAGTCATACATTCCTTGTTGTTTCCTAAGTCAGAGTTCTCTGGAACCTGACAGAAAGGTTATAAAAGACAACCCTGCAGATATATGAGATATTTGTGAATATGATTTTATCTAGACAAAGTTATCTTGGAATGTGTACATTGATACATATATTTGCTTTTTAAAAAATATAACTTTTATTAAGAATTTTAATTGTATTAAAAAGTAATAAAAGCTCAACATAGAGAAAGAAAACGTAATGGGAGGAAAGAATAGGAAGTGCTGGGAAAAATAAAAAGGAATAAAGAAAAATGAATTCTAAACAAATAAAAACAAATTTAGCAACTCTTTGCCCCCTATAAGGTTAAATAAACATCTCTTCATTCCATATTCCATCCTTTACCTATAAGCAAACTCATAAAACATTAATCCTAGAGTAAGCAAAATGTCCTTAAAGGGTTCCAGAACATTGCCAAACAAGAAAATCTTATTTTAACTGTGATCAAATAAACTCACTTTATATTCCTTCATTTTACTTTTTAAGTCTTGATCTTTAATTCAATCAAATATTTATTTCTATCCCACCTTCATTATTTTTACAAATAACTCAAGGCAGCAATTATATCCAACACATTTTTCTCCTCCTATTTTCCCCACAATACAACCCTGTGAGGTAGGTTGGGTTGACGAAGATTGACTAGCCCAAGGTCAGCCAGCTGGCTTTCATGGTTAAGGCAGGACTAGAACTCACAGTCTCCTGGTGATTGGTCCAAAGTCACCCAGCCAGCTTTCATGCATGAGGCAAGACTAGAACTCACAATCTCCTGGTTTCTAGGAACAGGTTTGATATTGACGTTTCCTGAACAAGCTGAAGGTAGTACCAATCTCAGAAGTTGCTTCCCTGATTTGTGTAGTCCCACCTCACCAATGTGTGCTCTTCCCAATGTGTGCTCTTCTCAGACTGTAGAAATCATACTTACAGAAAGATTCACTGAAGACTCAGATTTGGCTGCTGTCATACGTTTCACACTGCCCACATCTGTCAGTCGGTGCTCATTGTCATCCCATCTGCCATACGCCAAATCTATGCCACCAACAAAAGCTACGGATTGGTCAATGATCACCAGCTTTTCATGGTGGGCCCATAAATAAACAGTAGATGACACATGATCAGGGTGCCTCATTACCTGGAAAGGAAACACTGACCTTAAAATCAATGGAGTTATAGATGAAGATTTTAATCTAAGGTAGAAACCTTAGATGATCAGAAATTCCATACAGGTAAATAAATATGTAAGATTCCCTTTTTGAGTAGGTTTTTCTCCATCGCATTCAACCAGCATGCTGCCCCAATTATGTAATCATTCCTAAATTTAGGAGGACTTTTTCTCTTTGGCTAGGTTTAACACCTTCTTGACACTCAACAATGAAGCAAGGTTCTATGCTCACATGGAAAAGGAGCAACTTTGAGTCATTTTGTATTTTATTGTCCCTGATTTATGTCTGGAGTTGTTATCTCTGTTTCTAGATAAATGCCTTGGTCATTCAGATTCATTTTATCTTTGACCTGTCTGATCATCTTGATACCGTCTCATTGAATGCAGCCAAAGACAGGCAGCCCTTGACTTACAACCATTCATTTAGCAACTGTCTGAAGTTACAGCAGCACTGAAAAAAGTGACTTACGACTAGTCCTTGCACTAACGACAGTTGCAGCATCCCCACAGCCATGTGTTCAACCAGCACATATTTATGATAATTGCAGGAGCCCAGAAACATCTGATCCTAATCTGCTACCTCCCCAGCTGGCTTCCAACGAGGAAATATTCACTTAATGATTACATGATTCACTTAACAACTCCAGCAATTCACTTAATAACCATGACAAAACAAAGTTGTAAAATCGGGTGGGAGTCATTTAACAATGCTTTGGTTAGCAATGGAAATACCAGTTCCAGCTGTGGTTGTAAATCAAGGATCACCTCTACTGCCTATGGAGATTCTCAGTCATCTAGTTCATGGTTGTCCCAAAGGTACTTTTTCAAAAAGCAACTGGACTTTCTTGGTTTTTTCCTTGAAGACGAGTTTCCCTTCTTGGATGAAAAGTGAAATGTTTTCAAGGAACCCCCCACCCAAAAAATCCAGTTGCCCTTTAAAAAGCACCTTTGGGGCTACTTGTACTCTTTTGCTATCTCTAGTATTCAATAAGTATCAACAAGAAGGTTTTAGATATCTTTTTTCTCAGATGAGCTGATTATTTAGTTCTACTTTATTACAACTGGCAACATTACATTTTCACAGTTCTATATAGCGTTGTTTATTTGGGAATAGCATGTGTTATGTATATTTCAGTACATTTTATCCTTGGAATTTCTTTTGATCTGGTCTATAAGTATAATAAAACTGAACCAAAGTTTGTGATTTCCTCTAGAAGAATGAACAGGACTGATTTACTGGCAAGGCCAAAACGACAGAATGGAAACTACTTTGTGTATATCTTTCGGACATGTCCTTGTAAACGTAATAGAACATGTTTTTGAGTACAGCACTAAAGTACTGCTTCTTCCCATGCCAATCTTGAAGTTGTTTTGTGAATAGAGCAACAATTACTCTATGAAACTCACCGCCTCAATGTGGAACAGCTATTCCTGAAGATAAATAAACAGTGTAATTGTTACAATGGATACAAATACCTTAATATTAGGATGTAGGCGCATTAGAGTCCTCTTGGTATATTCACTGTTGATACCCAAAGCAAGCTCTACCTCTTTGTAGAGCATCACAAAGATTCTCACTCCTTGTTGCTGTCAGAAGAAAAAAATACCAGTCATATTTGATGCATGCAGAACCAACTAAAAGATTCATGATTGTTTTAGACCAGTGTTTATTTGTTGGGGTTATGCTATATTAGCAAGCTGGGCAATCTTTTGTGGGTCAGGGGTTAGAAGAAGGGATGTTAAGAAGAAAAATGATGCTACTAATGGCCCATAGTAGGTAGGATTGCCTAAATCTATGGGTAGAGCCAAGATTCTTTTTTTTTTTTGGACAGAATTAAAAATATGGCAATCTATTTCACAGTTTGAATTACAATTTACAATTTTTTCTTTCCTGACAGTGGCAAGCACACATGAGGTCAATTTTCTGTAAGCACATTGTGCAAAGTTGGTGAATCAGCTGAACAAAGGGGCTTGAAAACCTCTTGATTTGCCCACTCTTAAAACAAACAAATAAAAATGGGAAGAAAATGGACTACAGTCATTAAATGCAACAAAATACACATTTTACTTATTGCTATTTGGATTTTATGAGCCACAGCTTGACTTCTGTATCTGCTTCAACTATCCATGAAGGCCTACTTCAGGCTTCCTATCTTTTGAACTGGGAGAAGCTGCTTCCTAGAGAAGGATCTTTTTGGCGGTGATCCTCTAATGTGGAATTCCTTACCAGAGGGATTCTTCATTTCTCATTTTGCAGTGAGAATACTTGAGCGGGATAGGTAAGCTGCAGTGTCCAGATGTTATTCTGCATACATGGTTTTCTGGCTAATAACTTTTATAATTTGAAGATGTTTTGACTGAGGTATTTTTAAGTGCTATTGATGACTAATATAAAGAAAAAAGCTGACATTAACAAATGAATAGGTTCCAGAATCTGAAACCTTCAATTTATATAACTTCAGATGTTAGTCACATAGCGTAGAACTTCAACAACATCTTCAAGAAGAGAATCTTTCTTTTTCTCTTTCTCCTTTCTTTCTTTCTTTCTTTCTCTTTCTTTCTTTCTTTCTTTCTTTCTTTCTTTCTTTCTTTCTTTCTTTCTTTCTTTCTTTCTTTCTTTCTCTCTCTCTCTTTCTTTCTCCCTTTCCCTTTCTTTCCTTTCCTGTCCTTTCCTTTTCTCCTTTTTCATTATGGATATTCCAGTATTTTAGATTCTATGCCCAATAACAAATGCTATATGTGGCTGGCACCCTTTATCTGCAGGATTCTTGCCCTCCTTGAAGAAAAGACATGGGAAAAGAAAGAGATATTTCTGGATAGTTTGAAAAGGCAAAAATAAGGGATCTTCATTCAGAAGTAAAGGAGGTATCTGGGAGAACAAGTTTCTCTTTTGATAAATGCATGTCTTGTGAACAGACCAGCAATCCATCCTGCAGCAGGCATTTACTGAGTGTGCCCAGGATGAGGTGTCAAAATTCCAGATGAGCTCACTAAATATTCCAAAACACTAGACAGCTCTGCTCCTGCTCTATGTTCCTTTGATGCTGGTAAACATTATCCTAATCTAAAATAACCATGAAACTTAGCAACCTGCCCATGGTTAAAAAATAATTGCTAAATTCAAAATTAAAACTAAAAATATCACCCAGTTTAAAATCTAAGATCTCGAAGCAGAGCAACCCAAGGGACTTCAATTGTGACGTGACCTTTTCTTCCTTTGCCACAATAAAATTATTTTATGTTTGCCAGAAGTGTATCAAGGATTTGATCGCCATCCCAAGGTGATAGTCTAGGATGGGATCATCCCCTTGACACAAAGGGAATAATTCTTTCTGACTCACAAGAACTAAAAAAAAAATACCTTGACCACATTGGCAAAAGTATTTTATGAAGACGACACAAAGCTTCCGTTAAAGTAATTAGTCACCTCAAGCTCAATAACAAGGCACATGTTAAGCCCTCTCCTAATTAGACCTATATTCTTGGAGAAGATCAATGCCTACCATTAGCAATTTAATGAGTATCCATTTTGAACACAGACAAATAGAATATATGGTATCACACTGTGAGATCATCTCTCCAGAAAGTCAATGTATACTATTTCTTCTCATGTCACTGATGTTCCTTGGAACAGGCCAAAAGAGATGATCACACAGGATGCAGCTAGCATTAGACCTAAATTCTCTCCAGAGTTTCTTGAGTGCAGATGCCTTCAAAGTGAACATGGGAAAATGCTCGCAAACTGAACAGTGTTGCTGGAATCACCTACAATCAAGGAGAGGTTTAGGAAGGAGGAATTTTCTATCCCTAACAATATTCAGGGGTTTGGCACAGAGGTTAAGGAAGGTTATTGAAAATGAGACAGGAGGTCATGTGAAAGGGAGATGGACAGAGGTGGGATTCAGCCAGTTTGCACCACTTCGGCAGAACCGGTAACTAATTTTTTGTTGCCCAGGCCCAGAATGGACTTCCGGAAGTGGCATCCACACAGAGAACCAGTTGTTCACATATTTGAATCCCATCACTGGAGATGGACCTAAAAAAGAATAGCCCACTGAAGCAAACTCCTCTACTTCCGAAATCAGTCCAGGAAATGTAATGAAGTTTAAGCAATGAGCACTGAGGCTGTAGTATAAATGCATCTAAAGATAAATACTTCAGTTTTATAGGAGCTTGGCACAGCTCAGGAAGGAAGGAAGGAAGGAAGGAAGGAAGGAAGGAAGGAAGGAAGGAAGGAAGGAAGGAAGGAAGGAAGGAAGGGAGAAAGGGAGGGAGGGAGGGAGGGAGGGAAGAAGGAAGGAAGGAAGAAGGGAAGGGATTATTATTCAGGCAAATGCTGAGTTCATAATGTGCAAACACAAAGATAAGCTAAAACATACAATATTCCCCTCCATGTATGTGTATGACTGTCTATCTGTATATATACACACATACACAGAAAAAGCTAACCCACATTTTCTCCATTAATACACAAATGTGCCACAATAAGCAGACAACATACTCCTACGAAAACATGGGGGAAACCTCTATGGCATTTGATATACCATCTGGATACTGGCAGAGAAGAACAGAAGGAAACAAATCTGGAATTTACCATGTAAGCCATAATTATTTTAACTGATCACCAGACTGATTCTGGCTTTTCCAGCAAGCTTAGCATACTAGTGTGAGTCATCATCCAAACAGCCTAGAATACTGCATTAACATAGGCCGTAATGTAAGTTCAAGGTCCAGCATGTTGGGCAGCTCAATAACTGGATTAACCATATTCAATTATCTGCAGTAGCATCCACCCAAGTCACAATATTTGCGTAGTGTGCAAAGGCTATCCACTGCATCTTCACCTGACTTAGCTAAGAGTGTTGAGTGAACACAGCTAGTACATCGTGAATGCAGCCATATCTTGAGCCCCTGCCTGAAAAATGAGAGATACCTCTATTCTCTTTTGCAGTTTTGTAAGGCTTGAAAAATACTGCACACTTACAGCTTTTCGCCTCAAAATGCAGTCTAATCTCCAGCGATTCCCTTCCATCACAGGCCGCTTCATAAATATTTCGGGGCTCAGCCTGTAAAAAAGATAGAAAAGCAAACAGGTTTGGTTGAAAAATACACTAGTGAGCTTTTCTCGATGGAACTGTTGTCCACTTCACTACACTTTCTGAAATGAACATGAGTAGATGCCCCAATCCATGCAATTAAGCGAAAGAGTCTGCCAGCAAAGAAGACCCTGATCTCTTTCTATTACAATATAAAACAGCAATGCCTCCTTAAAACTGACAGTCATTTTCAAGTGTTGCTGATCCTCCCAATAGGGAATATAACAATTCCGGGTGGAAAAATATTTCTGTTGCCTAGGTTTTAGAGGCTCTTTGTCTTACATATTTTATTTCTCATTCTAAAATTATTTTTTTCAAAAATATTTGGAAGGAAAAATACAAACAAATTAAATTTGGAGATAGAAATTGTTTTATTCTCCTTTTTTCTTTTTTTCTCAAAGCCAGAGGGAAAAATAATCATCCTCCCTCAAGGTTGTTTACAAAGTCACAATACAAGCAGCACATCAAACGACAGTTGGCCTGCATGATGGGAAAAACCGGTAGCTAATTTTTTGTTGACCAGGCCCAGAATGGACTTCCGGAAGCGGCATCCACACAGAGAACTGGTTATTCACATATTTGAATCCCACCACTGGCCTAAACCCAATTCTTGCTTTAATCACTCTAAGGTCCTTCCTTCCATTCTAGAGCCAATATTGGGAATGAGATATTAGGGAGGAAAATATCTGAATTATATTATATACATTTTTGGACTAGTGCCACTAGTTTCCCCCCCCCCCACACCTTCTCTCTCGTTTCAAAATGCCAGAGCTCTTTCGGGGTCATCTTTTTATACTCACATTTCCCACCTCCCAACAAATAGGCCACAACTTTCCTTGATGCTCAGAACATCCATACAGATGGGGAAAATAAGTCATCAAAGGAAGAGCAAAAGTTATGATCTTACGTTTTGAAATACACTAATACTTTCCAGTTCTCTTTGGCAAATTTGATACCTGCCAATACAACAACAAGTTTTGCAGTTTCCATTTATTCGGTAATATAGTCCAGCTTATCTTTTCTTTGTCTGAAGGTGGAAGCTGAGCAGGGTTAGGTTTAATCAGTTCTGGGATAGGAAACCACCGAAAAATTCCAGGACTTAAAGATTAGCCTTGAAAGCTACAAAAATTTCCCAGAAAATGGCAATAGCAAATCATTTCCGTACTGTTGTTGATTAAGACATACCGTATCCATGATGTCACCAGGAGCTCAGCATTACCTTTCACTTTTTATTGCAAGATTAGAGTGCACATTGTTTATATGTGAAGAAAACCAAAAAGTATGACTTTAAAACTTCATGTTTACATGGGACTTGGCTTGGATCCAAACAGTCAGCTGAACTCAGAATCCAGTTTATAAGCAGTGTGGCTGTTTGTTGTTGAACAAGGTAATGAGGGGCCAGATGACTCTATTCCCTACTGCAGTGGTGGCGAACCTATGGCACGCGTGCCAGAGGTGGCACTCAGAGCCCTCTCTGTGTGCACGCACGGCATTGCCCCAGCCCCACCCCCCATGGCCCCCTCACCAGCAGCCCCCCCAGAGGAGAGTCGCCCTTGGAGCAGTCTGCGCAAAGCAGCGCAGTCAAGGATATGGCAGCCAGGCAGCGAGACTCCGCCCTCGTGCCCCATTGCGTGCAGATGATGCTGCAGGGCGTGGTCAGAGGGCGTGGTCAGAGGGCGTGGCCATGACGCTACTGGGCCACCTGGGCAATCTGCTGTGGCGGGGTCGTGGAGGCGGTGGGTGGCTCTGCAGACAGGAGGGCGGGGCGGGGCAGGAGCGAGGCGATTTTTGTGCACTCAGTCTCTAAAAGGTTGGCCATCACTGCCCTACTGCTTCACCTCTCTTTTCCTAATCCTGTAATCTCCTCCAATTATTTGAACACTCTTTTTGTGCCTCAGGTCCCTTAATTTACAGGTAGTCCTCAACTTACGACCACAACTGAGCCCAAAATTTCTGTTGTTAAGTGAGACATTTGTTAAGTGAGTTCTGCCCCATTTTACAACCTTTCTTGCCTCAGTTGTTACGTGAATCACTGCAGTTGATAATTTAGTAACTCTGTTGTTACTAAATCTGGCTTCCCCATTGACTTTGCTTGTCAGAAGGTCGCAAAAAGTGATCACATAACCTTGGGACACAGCAAGTATGAACCAGTTGCCAAGCATCTGGATTTTGATCACATGTTCATGGGGATGCTACAAAGGCTGGAACTCTGAAAAACGGTCATAAGTCACTTTTTTCAGTGCCATTGTAACTTTGAATGGTCACTAAATGAACTGTTATAAGTTGAGGACTACCTGTACAAGAGAAGGTTAAGAAGTGGGTTTTATATTGTCAAAAATGCTTATTTTATTTCTGAGAATGTACTGTATGCAGGTAGTCCTTGACATTTGAAGTTATGACGGATCTCCACAAAGCTAGTTACTATCCAGTTTTAAATTCCAACGGTCACCTCCCCCAGTCATGTGATCACATTTGGGTTCTTGGCAAGTAGTCTGCTGTTACAGGGGCTTGTAGTGCCCTTGTCACATAACTGATTTCCATTTTTTGCTGGAAACCAGCATTTACTTCCTGTTCGTGGCAAAAAGAAAAAAAAATCCATTGGTTACTATGGGTTTGGTTAACATGTTCTTTGAATGACCACGGAGTTTCCTTAATGACCACTCGATTATGGATGTAAGTCAAGGACTACCCGTATGATCCTATATCAGATCTGTACCATGAAGCCTCCGTAGCAGAACATACAGATTCAGCCATAGTTTCATTCCATGTTGTAAGGCGAGGACTATCTGTACTTGCTAAACGTTCAAGAAACACCAATAGGAGACTTTCCATTTGTATTTTTTTCCCCCCATGCAAAAGAGACAAGCTGAAAAGGAGTCAGTACATTAAAGTAATTTCTGTTAGATTAAAAGTTTTAGTTGGCTCGTCTTTGTTTCCTCAGCCAAGTGTCCTGAAAAGACCTTTGCAGCACAGCCTCTCTTATTCTCTGCCTCTTCCTCTAAGACGTTGCCAAACCATCTGGTCCTGCTGTTAAGTTTCCATGCGAAAGGACCCTAACAGTGCCACATTATAATTAAATATTCTAGAAAGTACCTTGAGAGGCTAGAAGGAGGCTGAGCAGGAAGGGTGGAATCGGATCATGTCAGTTAAATACTAACCACCAATCTGTGATGAAAATCTCTTCCTTGGCAGCTTCCATGGCATTCGCTACGTCTTCAAAGTACCCCTTGGCATTTACATACCTAGAAGGAATGACAACATTACACAAATAGGCGCAGGACTGGAATTCCGGAAGCAAAAGACAGTACTTTTGTTTTGTTTTGTTTTGAATATCGGAAGAAGCACAGAAAAGGAGGAAACGCAGAAAAATGAAAGAAATGAAAATGATTAGTGGACGAGAACATCTTCATAGCCAGGAAAGATTGAAGCAATAATTGTAGGACTTTTTACAGAAAAGATTGTAGCAATAACTGTAGAACGTTCCCCCCCCCCCGGAGCTATAAAGATGTGTGTGTAGAAAACAAACATAATGGAGATATGTGAAACCATGCATGGTGTAGAAAATGTGAAAAGTTTTTTCTCTCTCTCTCCTTTCACAGTCTTAAACCTTGGGGTCATCCACTGAAACTAAATACTAAAGAAACTTAAAGGCAGAGGAAGGATTGCATTCTCCATAGATAGTAATACAGGGGAAATTGCTGTCATTAAACACGACACCGACCAGCAGTTTTGGTGTTTTAAAAAGGGATTTGTACAATTCAGGGAAAATAGGGCTGGGTGGCTACATGCCATCAATGAATCCCGTCAGGCTATTTAAGCAGCAATTGCTGAAGAGCGACAGTAGAAGAGGTAAAATATATTTAAGCATCACCTGCTGGAGACCAACAAATAGAAGAGGGCCATTGACCTTGAACCTACTTTTGAGTTTCGTGGCTGCACCCAGTTGACCACACAAAATGCTGCCGGGCTAAATGGAGACCGGATGCAGTTTTTATGTTTTCAACAGGGGGGTGATAAACAAGTCAATTAGTAACCAATATTCCAATATCAATCAGAACACAACCTTCATAGCTATTTTTATTTATTTTAGTTATTAAATTTAGATACCACTCATCTCATTGTCTAAGTGACTCTGGGCTATAAAACTATAAAACCATAAAAAATACCGTTAACACAGGGTCGAAAACAGACTTAAAAAACAAAGTTAAAAACAAGTTAAATGGCGAGGGAGCACCCTCAAGTCACTAGGCTCCCCCAGGATTGCATGGCTACTCTCTAGTCCTCTGATACCAGTTGGCAGAGAGGCCAGAATGCAGAGGCCAACCTCACCTCATAGGGCAAGTGGTTACGTACAGTGGGGGCAAAGGCAGAGAAAATTCTCTTTTCTTTTGTTTGAACAAACAAAATTACATTGAAACTCTTGACTTTATCATCATATGGAGATTTAAGTATGACTCATCCACATTTATTAACATCCTGAGGAGAACAGTTGTCCCTTGGATAACTGTTGCTAAACAAGCACAGAAATGCTGCTGGCTTAGATACGAGCACAGATCTCAGGGTTGCTACTTCTGCCCCTGCTCCCCCCCTCCCCCAAAACCTGTTTCTTACATTATGGGAAGAATTGCCACAGGTGATTCATCACCAACATAGCCATCCACGTGCATATGGCTGTGCGTCTGTCTGTCTGTCTGTCTGTCTGTCTGTCTGTCTGTCTGTCTGTCTGTCTGTCTGTCTGTCTGTCTGTCTATCTATCTATCATCTATCTATCTATCTATCTATCTATCTATCTATCTATCTATCTATCTATCTATCTATCTATCTATCTATCTATCATAAAGTATGACATGTGAATCATAACATTAACTTGCAAACAATGTGACTTACGTATTTGGAACAGATACCATGATACAAATACGTAATTGCATCATTGGTGCGATGCCCTACTTGACACATGTTGTCTTGCTACAGACTAGTCTTTCTCACCCCTGACAACTTTAACAAGTGTGGACTTCAGCATTCAGAAATCCCCAGCCAGAATATTGACTGGGAGAATTCTGGGAGTTGAAGTCCACACATCTTAACAGTGGCTAAAGCTGAGGCGCACTGCTACAGATACCTACAACCATGTGCTATCAGCAACTATTAAACAGTGGAACATCTTCTCTTACCACTTGGCTAATGTGTTCTCCTGGATGGCTGCGTAGGAACCAAATCTGTGATGTCTGAGGAAGTTCTTGCCATTTTTCTGAATGAATTCTTCTATTCCTTGGCCCCACCAGAGAGCATGTCTGTAGCTGTTGCACTTCAAAATCAGTGACCTGGAGAAGGACCAAACATTCAGCTCTATCACTTCTTCACTTGTACACAATCACCATTTGCCATAGCAAGCAGCAGAAAACTTGCAATTTGGAACACACTGAATCAGAATTGCAGAGGGAGATAGCCATGTGGTACTATAGGAACTTCTTACCTGGAAAGATTATCAATTCGTAACCCATATTTAGTTTCTGTGTCCTTCTTGCCAATCTTTATGCTGAATTCTTTATCAACCAGGAGGACAAAAGAAACAGCTCCACTGTCTGGTTTCATGTACAATAAGAAAGAGTCTTTTACCACTAACCACCTGGGGAAGGAATACAAGTACAAAAAAATCAGTAGATTATATTGATAAATTAATCATATTAACATTTAACGCATCTAAACCATGTTTGCTATAATCCCAACAATACTTTTTCCCCCAGTCTGTTCCTAAAGCAACACAATTTGCCTGCTGCACACTTTTTTTTCTATATCATATTTTCTGCGGATTGCTTTATGTTAAGTAAAGCATAGTTACAATTAGAGTTATTTCTCTTGTGAAGAGAAGGCAGACTCAGTTCACTGAGGTGTATTAACAGCAGTAAGTATGGTTAATACCCTCCCAATTTACAGTTGTTAAGTAATCAATGGATCATCCAAATCAGTTTTATCTTAACCTGACCCTTAAGACTTTATTTATATTTATATACTCGATTCCCACAGAGTTCGACTTGCTTTTAGGTTATATCTGATATACTGATTTCCATTTACAAAAAATCTAGGAACTACATAGTAAGCAAAGATATTGTTGCCTACACTGTATGTGCAGTATAACGCCACATTAAGGTCATAACTCCCCCCCAAACTTCTCACTGGCTGGATATACTCTCAAATATATGTTAATTAAATATTTAAAAGATGCATTCACAGAACCTACTAAATTTGGTTAGTTGCATTCACATACAAACCAGTAATTTGGATTCATTCATTTTGTTATTTGATTGTGGCTTAATGTATTGTTTAGCTACTTCCTTAATTTATGGTTCCTTGTATAGTCTTTCTTTTGTTTATTTGCTTTCAAGTTACTGTTGACTCCTGGTGATTGCCTGGGCAAATCACTGCAGTTTACTTGACAAGATTTTGGAAGTCGTTTGCTGTTGCCTTTTTTCTAGGGCTTAACTAGCCCAAGAGCATGACTGGCCCAAGGTCAGCCAGCTGCCTTTGGGTATAATAATAATAATAATAATAATAATAATAATAATAATAATAATAATAATAATAATATTAGTAGTAGTAGTAGTAGTAGTAGTAGTAGTAAAGTTGAAAGGGATCTTGGAGGTCATCTAGTCCAACCCACTGCTCAGGCAGGAAACCCTATACCATTTTGGACAAATGGCTGTCCAGTCTCTTCTTAAAAACTTCCAGTGTTAGAGCATTCACCGCTTCTGGAGGCAGGTTGTTCCACTGGTTAATTGTTCTGTCAGGAAGTTTCTCCTTAGTTCTAGGTTGCTTCTCTCCTTGATTAGTTTCCACCCGTTGCTTCTTGTCCTGCCTTCAGGTGCTTTGGAAAATAGCTTGACTCCCTCTTCTTTGTGGCAGCCCCTGAGTTATTGGAACACTGCTATCATGTCCCCCCTCGTCCTTCTCTTCATTAAACTAGACATACCCAATTCCAGCAGGCGTTCCTTATATGTTTTAGCCTCCAGTCCCCTAATCATCTTTGTTGCTCTTCTCTGTACTCTTTCTAGAGTCTCAACATCTTTTTTACATCGCGGTGACCAAAACTGGATGCAGTATTCCAAGTGTGGCCTTACCAAGGCATTGTAAAGTGGTATTAACACTTCACGTGATCTTGATTCTATCCCTCTGTTAATGCAGC